ACTGCACCATATTACAGAGTTTTTCAGTGTTTGATTGGACACTTTCGTCATCTTTTTAAAGTGGGGCAGGGCAGGTCTGAGTTCAAACTAAATGATCAAAATCTGGCAATGAAATATTGGATAAAACAACACTGTAACTTCTGAAAAGCATAAAAGCTCCCAGAGAGTGGTGTGTGCTGTGCCTATAAGCCACATACTGCCTTCGCTGTCTGCAGATGTTTAGGATTTCCTATGAGTACCACTTCCCTATACTCCTTGTTTTGTAATGTCATAAGATAAAAAGGAGTAACTAATCTGCATTGTAGCTTCAGAAAAAAAAGTGAAGAAGGTGTACATACCCATGGCAATGAGTGGGACTGACACTACGAGTTGCTCAGGGAAGTGTGTAACTGCCAGCTAACGCCTGGCCACATTAACTCTATCACAAACAGTTTGATTTGAAGATGTTTTCTGATGGGCAGTTTATTGTGACAAAAAGTATTTGTATGAATTTATAAAGGTTTAGCTTTCTCCAGATGTGTTGGAACTGTGCCGAGAGTTGTCCCAGCACAGTAACCGAGATAACTGTTGAGTGTAAATGGAACTGGACCGTGCCAGACACAACCGAACCGTGCTAAACTAGAACTAGTTCAACAGTAGGTCTCTGATAACAAAGAGTGCATGAGCAGACCACGTCATCTCCTAACAGTCAGCTTCCAGTAGTTGGTAGTAATGCACATCAGTAAGTTGCTTGACAACCACCACAGAACAGAAGAAGAAGAACTGTAAACAACAATCAAAATCTTATGAAGACTACATTTCATAAAATGGCATTAAAATAGCATGGTGCGACCAATTCTTGGCCTGACTCTCTGCAAATAACGAAATATCACAATTATAATCAAACATAATGTCCTGAATGTTACGCATGCCGCCATTTTGATTTGCATGATTCCCTCCTTCAATCCTAGCAGTAGTACCGTAGATCAACACAAGGGTGTGAGGAACCGTTCTAGCATGATGTGTAAACGATTGTAAAGAACCAAGCTCAGCATGGCTAACTGATCCAAGCTCGGTCTGAACTCTGCACGGGTCGGTTTCAGAGGGGTAGTGTAAATGGGGCTAATGCCTCTCTGGGAGCTTTACAGATTATTTTATGATTACAATAACATTGGGATTTTTTTTATAAAATCTAAATAAATCAAATTATTATTTTTAGTTTTGCCAATATAATACATGTAAATGTAATCTGAGCAGAGATGGCAAAAGTACTCACTTTCCGTACTTGAGTAAAAGTACAGATACTTGTGTTAAAAAATACTCTGGTAAAAGTGGAAGTACTGATTAAACTTCTTTACTCGTGTAAAGTAACAAAGTAGAGGCTTGTAAATTTACTTAAAGTATAAAAGTAAAAGTAGAAACCACTTTTTTCATGCCGTTGCCTACATTTTAAATGGATGTCTGCCAATAGGACTAGATCTCCGTTGTGTTCATTTTCAATCATGTCGTCGTCCATACTACTATGCTAACGCCACCGCCACCAAGCTGCAATGATTTGCCGCCAATGAATACCGCCGAATCTGTCGATTCATCTTGTAGTGGTGCGTCAAATGCAACGTAGATTCCCATCCAATTAGATTGAATTTGGTATTGATGAAGTGAAAAATAATAACGGTAACTCCATTGAAATGATTCAAAACTAAAGTAACGAGCCAATTTTTTAAAATGTAAGGAGTAGAAAGTACAGATATTTGTGTAAAAATGTAAGGAGTAGAAGTAAAAAGTCACCATAAAAATAAGTAGTAAAGTAAAAATATCAGAAAAATCAACTTGAGTACAGTTACGAAGTATTTGTACTTCCATACTTCCCATCTCTGAATCTGAGTAAATCAAAAATGTTCAATTTCCTTTCATTTTAGAAGGTTCAAAGGTTTACAATAGATAAAGGGTCGAAAGCTATCCATACCAACTAAATGGCTATGCAAAAATTGTGTGTAACTGTGATTAACTGCCTTTCTAGTTTAAAACATAGAGCTAATCAGGGGCGTCTCAAGCTTTTCAAAAGTGTGGGGGATATGGTCGGTCCGAGGTTGTTGCAGAGCCAGTTAAATGTAGCAAACATGTTTATCATACTTCTGTGGTAAGATGTTTCTGCCATATAACCATAGAGCACATAAGATATATTAATTAATATATTACCTTACTTTCATCAGCACAATTTAATTGAAGTGGCTTGTACTTGCAGCGGGTTCGATTCCCGGCCCGTGGTCTTTCTGCATGGAGTTTGCATGTTCTGAGCATACATGGGTTCTCTCTGGGTACTCCGGCTTCCTCCCACAGTCCAAAAACATGACTATTAGGTTAATTGGCTTTTATAGATTCTCCTTAGGCGTGATTGCGTGCGTGAATGTTTTTTTTTTGTCTGTTTGCCTCTTTGTTGCCCTGCCATGGACTGGCGATCTGTCCAGGGTGTACCCCGCCTATCGGCCATTGACAGCCGGAAATGGGCATCAGCACCCGTCACAACACCAGCAAGGATAAAACGTGATGGAAAATTGATGGATAAATGGATGGTTTGTTCTTATCTTACACCTGAGCCATTTAGCACTGTATCTCTCCCTCCGGTTGTTTTTAACCCTACTATGAAATATATATTCAATCATTTTGTTGGAAATCGTCTTGATTTATTATTTACACACTTTAGGACTCAACTGCACATTTTTTTGTCTCTGTCCCTCATCTTTTCCTCTGTAATTAATGTTTTGTATCACAATGAAAGACAGCTCTGTCTGGAAAGATTGCTAAACCAAACAGAGTGTATAAAGTCCTGAACCGAATCCGATTTTGTGTTTGATCCGACAGAAAATCGTATCGGACAACTATGCCAAGAAATTGATCCCTTCGTTCAAAGTTAGAGGGACGTAGAATCCAAGTTTAGGTTTTTGTGTTTGAACATGAGCTTAATATGCCTAAATGTTTAAGTCTGGTCACTAAATAAGCGGGTTATTGTCTCATATGAACACCATAGTTGTCAAAATTGGGTTTTGAAAATAGGGAGATGTTTTTTTCATTTGTGTATTGGTCCACAGGATAATTATTTATCAATTCTTGTCTCGTATTTTAAATCTTATTCTGAATATTTTGTTTCTTTGACTTTCAATTAATAATATTTAAGGTCAATAAAAAAGCTGTTTTAGAGCTGGGAGCTTTTTTATCAGTCTCTTGTATTCAACTTTACATTTCCTGTGAAATCTATGAATAACTTTTCCTAAAACCTGCCTGGTTTTTCCCTGCACGACATATTTTCAGGAAAGTACCTACCTGTAAAAACCCTACATCATTCTCCCTGCTGCTGGTATCTGGTCCATCTCCTCTCTGACTCTGCTCTGTTATGGCAATAAACATTTTATAAAATGTGAACAGCAAAGTTTTGAAACAGAATTAGGAAGAGAAGCAGTAAAAAGTATTGTGATATTTAACTTTAAGGTCACTTTTATGCCATAGATTGTTAAATCTCTTCCCTGACTCTCCTCTCATATTGTGACCAAAATATTGGTACTTTAAATGTATGGAGAGCAGAAGTTGCAGAGGATTGGGTTTATTCCAGCATCAAAGAACTTATATTATTTAATTAATGTTTACGATTAACATATTAGACTGTTTTACCTTGTTATCATTTAACCAACCAGTTTAATTTGCAATTCACATTTAACAACTTACACAATTTTGGGGTAAAAAACTGAAAAGTTTGACGTTTTTATAAGCAGTTTATTTTAATATAGCAGTTAAAAGTTGGGACAGATCTTTTTAAACATTGAGCTATAGGTGATAGATGTATTACTGAATAAATGCAGCGCAGACATAATGGATTTAATTCAAATAAGGGCTCAAAAAAGGTCCAAGCCCTGTCAATACATCTCCCAGCTAGTTTATACTCCATGGAAAAGGAATAACTAATATTACTCAACTTTGTCCCCTGCATCCAAGAAAAGAAAGATGAATCTGTGTTATGCAAAAAACTCACAAACTGGGTCTCTGTTCAACACAATCCCTTGCCAAACTTGAGAGAAGTGCTTATCCTAGCTAAATATTCTCAGCGGATTGCATCGTTTCTCGAAATGCAGAAGAATGTAGTGAATTCTGGTTCATTTAAAAGCACCCACAAGCTGCTTACTATATTTAAACCAATGAATGTTGAAACTTGTTTTATTTTTTCTTTTAAGCACCAATAATGTGAAAATTTTGAATTGCTCTATTATTGTAAAGATCAAATTATCCTTTTCTTTTTTTCCCCTTGTTTGAAAACAGGGCTTTTTTAATGAGAAAGTATATCTGGCCACATTAATAATTCATTGTCACTCTAGACTTGTTTATAGAAGTTAAACATAATTACCTGGAAGTGTCAAAGTCCTGAGTTGAAAACTTCTTGTATCTCCTAACTTGTCATGACTGATGACAGTTTTATTTTTAGTTTGTGTTACACCTAAACATTTTATCATCGGCAACCAAAGTGCCAAACTAAGCAAGCTGTCAATCTTTCACAGTATAGTATATGTGTCTTCTGCAAAATGTGACAAGTTATAAAAAAAGCCCTATTTCAACACTTATTCTTACTGACTCACTTCTTCCTAAACCCTAATGTAACTAAGGTAACATGTTAAGGTTGTCAAATGGGGAGATATTAAAAACACAAGCAATAAGACTAAAATGGAATGGAAGAAACCATTAAGCTAAACTCTCAAATGACCTAATTGTTTTATAAAAATGCACTATAGGGTATTTTGTTTCTTCTAAGGTTTCTTAGATCAACAAATTAACCAATAGATTAAAAAAAGAAGAGCTCCTCACTTTTCTTGTACAGTTTTTCTTTTATACGACGACTATAGTGAGCAAGCTGACATTTTATTGAAACCTGCAGGCAATGTTTTTTTAATCTATCCCTTTGCTTTGTGATCTTATTTCCCTTTGAAAAGATTTCCCGCAAAGAAACTTATTGTTAATGTCAATTTGATATCTTACAGGAGGAAATGTTGCAAAGGCTTCAAGTTTGTGATGGGCCAGTGCATACCTGAAGGTAAGATAAGAAGTTTGAATGTCACCTTAGAGGATCCTGCCAAGTATCTAAGTTCTTCAGAGTCTCGATTGTCTGATTATTCCCAGTATTTCTTGTTACCTGCTGTAAAGTCATACTATAATCTTTTTTACCAGATTATGATGTGTGTGCTGGCGCGCCCTGTGAGCAGCAGTGTACTGACCATTTTGGTCGCGTTGTGTGCACTTGTTACTCAGGCTACCGCTATGACCGAGAACGCCACAGAAATCGAGAGAAGCCCTACTGTCTGGGTAAGATCTAAAACAAATGTACCAGTGATTAATAGGATGTATTCTTATGTATTCAATGACCTTATTATTGTATAGTATTATTGTACTTTAATTGTAAATCCAACAGTTACAATAAATAAGGCCACGTTATTTTGGCACGATCCAACAGATTACTTTAAAAAAAATAATCTTGAATACAGAAAAAATTAATACTTGATTTAAAAAAAGTAGAATGAGAATAATATCAAATAACAGCAATAATACAGAGGCCATCAGTGCAGTATTTCAATAGCTTGCGGCAGAACATTGTGCAGCAGTCTGGTTCTTGTGCTTTTGATGTTGCCGTGACGGACAGTCGCTGTCATTGGAAGGAGTCTGATCATTTTCAGTGTGACTCCTTCAGTTCCTCTTGCAGTCTTCTAAAAGGCTCTTTTCTTGCATAAAGTGGCAGGATTAACGTGTGGAGATCCAAAATGTTAACATGCTCTCTATAATTTGTTTGTTAAATACTGTAAGGACACTGGTAGAGAGCTTTTTTTTTAGCTTCAACAGAAAGTTTCTCTGATCTTTCATCAGCAGGTGTTCCTAACAAGTAGATAACCTGTCCTGTGTTTACCATGTTAAACTGAACTGGACACAAATTCAGAACTGAACACACAAATCTGAATGATACCCGATGCTTAACTTAATCAAACTCCAATGCAAACTCAACATTGTCTCTGTCACAGGCAGAAATGTAAAGGAGGCATCTTCATCTGTACACAGTATGCTTCATATATATTGTTATTGTTGTGATTGTTGCGTTTTCTTCATGGAACTGGGCTAATAGCTAAAAGCTGATATTAAAAAAAAGGATTGATCAAGAACGGCAACAATGAAAAGATGCATTTTAATCAAAGGTGTCTGTTTATCTAAAAATCATTACAATGAAAGCAAATCAAAAACTTTTTCTGCATTATGAAAATAACCATGATAAAGTAATACTGGCCATTGAATGAGCAAGTTCTTTGTTATGTATTTTTCTTTATTTTCTGTTTGTAATTGTGTGTTTCTGAATTATGTCTGCAAAAGTCTTAAGAGCTGAAGAGGTAATTTTATTTTTTTTGGGACAGTTGTAAGGGTATACTTCTTTCAGGTCCTATAAAATCATCAGTTATTTTAGTTGTTACATTACCTACTCCTATTTAAATTAAATAAAAATAAAATGAAATTACATATACTGTGTCGAACTCCACAAAGATAGATTGCCTCTACCCTAACACCTGCCCAGCTTTGGTGTCCAACCTGAAGCAAAGCTCCTGCAGGTAAAGTTCTTTAGGTTATTGAGGGACACAACCCTCTGACCACAATACAATGGCAATCCTGTAGGGGGGGAAACAGAAAATGGCAGTAAATATTAAAGGAGAAGTTCGGTTTTTTACACTTTAAGCCCATTTTCTGTAGTGTCCAGGATGAAATCGAATGATCGACACCAAAAGTTTGACAATTGCTCCTGTCTCTGCTTTTTGGCTCATTTAGAATCACCCCCTGGCTGCTTTAGAATGGCTTGCATAGAGCATGTCCGATAATGTCCTTAAAACAACCTTAAACGTTCTTTTTTTAAAATATGCTACTCACCGGGTCGTCGGCGCTGTTCAATGACGTTCCAAAAAAAGTTTCGTAAAGAAAAAACGTTCCTGTAGTGTTTTATTTAGCATTTTGTAAATCCCATTGAGTTCTGTAGGAATAGTCAATATTCCGCTGCCACCGGAAACGGAAATGGGGCCTGTTTACACAGTTGTAGTCTTTTCGCTTCACTCTGTGTACTCCGACGTCGAGGTGCTAACGTCTCTGTTAAACACTTTAAAAAACTCTGAAAATGGAATACGAAAGGTGGATTCTTGATTCTCGACGTCGGAGTACACAGAGTGAAGCGAAAAGACTACAACTGTGTAAACAGGCCCCATTTCCGTTTCCGGTGGCAGGGGAATATTGACTATTCCTACAGAACTCAATGGGATTTACAAAATGCTAAATAAAACACTACAGGAACGTTTTTTCTTTACGAAACTTTTTTTTGGAACGTCATTGAACAGCGCTGACGACCCGGTGAGTAGCATATTTTAAAAAAAGAACGTTTAAGGTTGTTTTAAGGACATTATCGGACATGCTCTATGCAAGCCATTCTAAAGCAGCCAGGGGGTGATTCTAAATGAGCCAAAAAGCAGAGACAGGAGCAATTGTCAAACTTTTGGTGTCGATCATTCGATTTCATCCTGGACACTACAGAAAATGGGCTTAAAGTGTAAAAAACTGAACTTCTCCTTTAAGAACTAAAAGTAAGATATTGGTTTGCTGTTAATTATCTTATATTAATTTGAGCATAATAACAATAATAACAGAAAAGCAAAATGAAATAAAAAAAAAAAGCCCCAACATTTTTTTCTAAACAATATAGATAACTTGAAAGTTTGTTGTTTGTTATTTTGTTTAGGTGTTTTGGTTTAGAAATAATAAATCCTGAGAGTGGAAAGCGCAATAAAAACTGCTGTGGTTATTTCTAAAACAGCATAAAAAATAGAAAGTGAGTGGGTCCTTTACAAACATTTTTCCACTGTTTGTGTTATCAGAAGGTGACTCATGTGATTCAGAAACAGATTGATTTAACAACAGTTTCTGAACTTGAAACAACACGATCACTATAATGAATTCCATGGAGCTTTTCTGCATCGTCAGTTTACTGATTTGGCTTCTCCTTTCAGAAGGAGAGAAATCTCATACTACAACTCTACAACCTACTGATTGCCGAGTGGTCATTTACTAGAAGGATCGGTGCAGGGGTTTAGATTCTCCACTGACTGCAGGCAGAAAGGAGGAAAAGATCACTCCCTGTCCAGCACAATGTGCAGCAGAACCTGAGTTATATTCAGTTAGTTTTGGCAGATTTGATTTGAGGGGGCAAAACATTTGTTTAAGGGGACACTACCCCCTCTTGCTCCAGCGTATGGCCGTCTTCAATCCAGATATAGTTGGTTATGTTCATGGCAAGAAGGAGAAGCTTAACTTTTAAAGTGTAAGGCAGAGGTTTTAAGATGGAGGTTGCAACCCCCTAGTGGGTCCCTTATATTGCAGAGAGTTACCTCTGTAACGTATTTTGGGTGGTAAGCACTTGCATTAAATTTAGCAATGCAGGAAGATCACTCAAAATGTGGAGCAGTGCTTCCAACAGGTCAAGAATGTACTTGCGATGGTGGCCTGTGCAGAGCAGCTCTGTGGGATTTTACATCACTTCTTCAACCTTAGCCTGACACAGGAGTTGGTTCCAGTGATGTGGAAGACCTCCTGCCTTGATCCTGTACCAAAAAAAAAGAAACTCAGCCACCAGTCCTCAATTACTATAGACCTGTTGCTCTGACATCCAACATCATGAAACTCCATCTGAGCAAGCAAACAAGCAGCTGTCAGGAGCCCCTGCAATTGGCTCATCATTGTGGAAATGGAGTTGAAGATGCCATCATACACCCGCTTTAACAAACCTACTGTCATTTAGACTAAGTAGACAGCATTTTGTGGGTCATATTATTTGACTTTCTTCCATGCATTTAACAAAATTTAGCCTGACATACTGTTTCAGCTTATCCCAAAGACAGAGATGCAGGCATCAACAATCAACTGGATCAAATACTACCTAACAAACAGACCACAGTTTGAGACTGAAGGGTTAACTGTCTAATCAAGTAGTCAGCAGCACAGGAGATCCACAGGGCACAATACTCTTTTCACTCTGTACCAGAGATGGGGGACCTGGAGTCAACAAGTCATTTCTATGTCATTTTTTTGTTCTACCCAGCCACTGAACCTGGTGAGTTCAATTTACATAGATAAAACAGATTGGAATCACCAGGCTCAGTGGCTGGGTAGAACAAAAACATGACATAGAAATGACTGCTCTGTACACCACAAATTTGCAAAACAAGAGAGACCTGTTATCTACAGGAATACTCTGAAGACTGCAGTGATTGGATACATCAGAGATGGACAAGAAGCTGATGACAGGGACCTGGTGAAATGCTTTGTGGCATGATGTGAAATCAAGCATCTGATCCTGAATGTCAACAAAACATGGAGATGATAGCTTCTTTTCCCATGATATTATCATCATGGGAGAAGAATTGGAGGTTATGGAGGAGTAAAATACCTTGACGTTCATTTGGCAACAAGTGTGACAAGAGTCACAACTGTGAAGCCATCTAAAAAGAAGACTGTACTTCGTAAGGAAGTTTAGGTCCTTTTGAGTATCCAGAAAGATAATACATATCTTCTATAAGTCAGTTGTGGAGAGTTTGATCTCTTCTGTCATCATCTGCTGGGCCAACAGCATCAGAGCAAATTACTTAAAGAAGTTTAACAAACTGATAAAGAGGCCAGCTCTAGGAATTTATCAGATATCTCTGATGGTGAATTTACAAAGAAGAATTCTTAAAAAAATGAAGCATCCTTTCCATCAGACTGTTTTTAACTGCTTTTAATAGAATTATGCACAATGGCTACGTTGGAGTGGAGCAGGATGCAGACTATGGGTCATTCTTCCTGCAGCAGGGTGACATTGCAGCATTTTTGTTTTTTGGGGTGGGGGGTGTTGCTATTATTTCTCTTGTTAAGGCTTTCAAGTGTTTACAGATGACAGCTTTATTGATGGTGATGATGAAAAATATATTTCCTTAAGTGCAAGCCTTTAGCACGGTTACTGGGATGTAATCAGATACAATTTTTTTCAAATTGTATTTGTATGAACTGGTTTTTACTTAATTCAGAGAAAAGGAATTTATAGACTCCTTTGCTCCACTGTAATACATAATCAGAGCCTAATGTTACATGTCTGACAGTGATAATTGGTAATTTTTTTTATTATCTGTCCAACTTTTGTTTTGCTTGAAGCAATCTGTATATTGTGAATAATTTTACTGGCTCAAATCCACAAGTCGGGTATTTTACCTATGCATTTAAATTCCCCAAATTAATACATTTACAAACCTAAGTTGCTAAGTTTATTTACCATATTTTAATTCCTTTTTACTTTGCTTAATATGGTTATGTTAAGTGGATGCATTTTGATAAAATTTTTCTCTTCTTTTCAATTTCTGAGTAACTTCCTTCTTTCACTTCAACACACAGACATTGATGAATGTGCGGAGAAAAACATGAGCGCCTGCTCTCAGATCTGCATCAACACCGCAGGGAGTTTTAGGTGTGAGTGTGAGAAAGGCTATTTCCTGGAAGACGATGGGAAGACTTGCACCAAAGGGGAGCGAGGTGAGCTTACACATCTTTTCATTATTCACATCAAACAGCAATGTGGAGAAGACTACACTGTGTTTTTGGTGTGTAATAGAGAAGGGGGGAGGGCATTACAAATATAGACAGCTGGTAGTCATTAGACTTCACTGCCTCCTGTGCATGTCAAAATAGTTTGGGCACCCAAACACACTGCTGCTTTCTGACTCCTGGTCTTCTAATTTTGCCGGATAGATGTGGAGAAAACACAAAACATTCAGGCGATAAAAATATCTTCTCTCTGCCAATAAAGCAGTGAGGCGCTGCAGATTTATAACTTCCTCCCATAAGATTATCTTCTGTTACCTGCTATAACATTTAAGAAAGTAAAAAAAAAAAAAAGTGAAAAGCGTGCTGCTTGAGATTGTGATTTATGTTCTGCTGCTCTGTAAGTTAGGGGTGAAATATTGGAGGCTGACTTTTGCACCCATCCATTATTATATTATTATTACTTTTAAAGTTAGCAGCCAAAGTAAGACAAACAAACAGTAATGCTATTTTTTTTTTTCAAATAGTTATCAGTTGAAAGTAGTTTAAATAATGGAGAAAAATGGTATTTAAAACTGGAAATAATACAGAGGAATGCTGATGTTTTTTGCCACTTGTATCATAATATGTTCGGTTGGCAAGAAGATACATCTACTTTTTTTTTTCTTTCTGCTACAATAACAACATATAATTTATCCTGTAATTTTATTACAGGATATATATTACGTATTTTATATACGTAGCCTAAAATGTCATCGCTACCAGTGATCCCCAACCCCTGGGTACGGTACGGGTCCATGTGTCATTTGGTACAGGGATGCACAAAAAGAATAAATTACTACCATTTTTTCCAGAAAATTAATTTTTTCATTCTAAATGGCGTTTTATTTATAAAAAAAAGACTGGATTCACTAGGCTAAAACAGTGTAGGTAAGTACGTACCTTGAACTCCACCGTCACGTTGCAGCAAAACACAAGGCTCCTGTTGATTCACTCCTATTGTGAGTAATTATCACTCTGTTTTCATGCACTTTGTTTTTGTGGTGGCTTTTTTTTAAAGGCATATTAAATGTTACCATAGCAACAGGCCGGTCCATGAAAATATTGAATGACATCTGTCTGTGGAGCAAAAAAGGTCGGGGGCCACCGGTTTACACTATCAAGTTGGCCAATATTAAGTAACTATTAGCTATAATAATAACACATAACTTAATATTATAAACTGGAAATGATAGGTTAAACTAAAAGGCTAATGTTATCCCTAACCATCTCCCTGAACAGTAGTTATGGTGCGTTCACACCAAATGCTGAAGCAGACGATTTACATATTATCTCTATGTAGACTGCAGGGCTAAATCCCAAACCACACCTAAACCACTAATCCTTAACTATCAAGTGTCACTCAGAGTAAAGTCACACCCACAGCTGTGGAAGACGCCTAGATTGTACGTGGGGGGTATAAACGTGACAGCATCAAAAGGGAAAGGAAAAGCAGTTGTTTCTATGGCAACACAGAGCATGTGTGTGACTGTTGCTCTGTAACGCAGGATAACATTACATAAAACATTTGCCATTTTCTTACAGTTAAAACAGTCTATTCCAAAGAGGATCTTCCATTTAGGGATTAGCAGCATCTGATTTTCTGTCGGTGTGAAAAAGATGCAGCCAACCCACGCAATTTACATTTGATTGCATGTGTTTCATCTGCCACTATTTTGCCTTTACACCGACTACCAAATGCCAATGAGCCTGCATTGACGCAGACTCGCTATTTAAGGACTGAATGGTCCACTCGCCCTACCTACTACATGGTTTGGGATGGCCTTTACTGTTGCGGAACCTCTGCAGGAATGGCCAATAGGGCTTGGGTTTCGCGTTGCATTGTGGGACGTGGCGGCCATATTGAGGGCTACGCGAACGTAAACATAGCTCTGATACAACATTGTTGTTGAAAGAAGAGACGTAGAAGTAGAGAGAAATTAGATGTTAAAATCCCGAAAAGGATCTGGAATTTACCGGGACACATTAAATAGAGAAGCCAGGGACCGGTATGTTGACAAAATCATTATTAATAGCATTATTAATAATTTGGATCCATATGAAGTTCCAAACAATGAGTGGAGCACCGATGGGTGAGCGCCTATACTTCAAAACAGTTCCAAAGCTACAAGTCCTTGGAGTCTCATGTGCAGTTCATGAATGGAAGGGTTCAGGAGCTGCAGGTCATAAAGCCAGCAAACAGTGGGAACACAGTAATACAAAGGTAAGCTGTGCTTAGATGGGCTCTGGAACCTGCTAGTTTAGTAATTGCTAACCGGTAGTGCTAACAACCACTCACACATGTAATGTACTTTTAAGTAGCTGCTATGTGTTTCAAAAGTGTAGTTAGTAACGTTAACTGCCAACCCTCCCTAAACCCTCCGGGTTTCTCACATATTTGAGCCTTTTCCCGCTGCCGTTTTTATTATTTTCCTGTAAAAGATCCCAACCTTGAAGGAAAGAAACAATGTAGGCTGTATAATAAAATCGTGCATCTTTAACTTACCAGAATGAAAATGCAGGGAACATACTCTCATTGACATCGGGATACTGTGGAAAGTTATGTTTGGTCGTCTTACAGCCGCGATCCAAGTTGGCCAACGACTCTTAATCTCTGACACTTGGTCTCCGTGGTGGAAAGTTAACCCATTTTCTATGTTTTCCCATGGCGATCATGTGTTGCGCAATACAGCAATGGTTTACCATGGTTGAAATCAATTAAAGGTGAAATTAATCACATTAAAACATGGCTGAGAGGGAGTACAGTACGCAGTAGTCATAGGCAGTAGTCTGAGTAAAGGAGGCCCTCAACATGGCGGCCACGCAAAGTAATTACGGGTTGTGCTCAGGGTTGGTGTTTAGGGTCGGTTTGAGATTCAGCCCAGCTCTGGAGTGCTGCAAGGTGAAGCACGGCAATGGCATGTTTTTGTTAAATTCAACCGAGGGAGAGCACCACCGCTCCTGTGTACATGATGCTAAAATTTGTAGGAGTTGAAAAATCTGAACTTTTGTTAAAATTCGCATTGCAAAAAACAATGAGGGACTAGACGTGGCTGTGACTTACAGTGAAGGAGTGCAATGGAGACAAGCTTTTTTTTTATCAAGATGGAAGATAGAGAATAGAATGTTGATAAATGATGAAATAGGGAATTGGTTTTAGGTCCTTCGTTACCTACAACACAGCCACTGGCCAGTTGCCGCCTCCCCATCCCCACTTTGGTGCACTCTGCTCGACGGGTTTCACAGATGTACCACTGTCCTCCTTCCATCTCCCGCAGTTAGCCTCTAGAGCTAACACTGTTCAGGTTTTGCCTCTCCCCACTCCTTCTTTGCCTGGCGTGCTTCTCTGATCTATTGCTGTTCTTTTCCGATCTATCACTGTGCTTTCTTAGCTCCAGAGGGAGGCACAGGCAGTCACATTGACCCGGGTCTGGTGCTCTCTCTGCCAAGGTTCTGCTTTGATTTCCCTTCTGCTCCTGTCTGACCTCAAGAACACTGTCTCACCTTACCTTAAGCACCTTGGAAAGTGGTGGTGATCCAGCCACATCCTGACTCCCAGAACTGGGAGCATCTCTGTAGGATCTGCTGGACTCAGGGATGCCGCTGACTTTGCTTGACTTTCTAAATTAACCTACACATGCTACATAAAATCACTGTCTACTGGCCAAGTGAATTTCTGGCTATTTGTCAGGTAAGCAAAACACATGAAATTGGAGAATTTTTTGCAGGTTTTGTGTTTGGTGTGAACGCACAATTATACTCAAAGTCGTTTTAGGAGTTGGCGGAGACGAATAAGCTACGGCTAAAGGCTGATTTATACTCAGAAACCAGGTCATGTCCATGTGTGTCGCAGTGATTTCAAATATGCAAAAAAAGTGTGACTGCAGACAGTGCCTCAGATAGGAGGCCTCTGATTGGTCAAATCTACATCCGCTCTACACTATCCACATTTCCTGTTTGGTACCTTACCAGCTTGTTATTTTGAATGACCGCCATTGTGGAAAACGACTCGTGAAGATGGACCAGCTAGAAGAGCGAGGTGCGCGAGAACGCTGGGACCCTTTTTCCACCAGGATCCCTGCTCGTTTTTTGCCCTCATGTCCCTCCGTTGTTGCACAAACTTGACTGTACTTCCTCACTACCTCGACCATATTTAGACCCACAGCTAGTTCGTGATTGTCCCTCTTGCACTGTGGCGTGGAATAACATAGCGCAGACCACGCTTCAATATTGGGCATAAATCAAAAAAATCTGTGACAACCTCATTGCGACACACTGCTGCGGGAGTATAACCAGCCCTTAAGAGTCCAAGACTCATGCAGACTTCTGCATATTAGCTTCCCAAATATCCTTATTTATATAATTGAAAATTGGATGTATACCACATCAACTAAGTGAACTACATTTTAATTAAATGTTTTACCTTAAATATGCTTTCTGATTATTTCTCCATAAGGTATGTAACTGAAGCATTTTCCCATTCCCAGCAGTTCATCTCTTTGAGAAGTGTGATAATTTAATGAATTCTGGAACTTGCTCAGCTACATGTGAAGATTTCCTCCAAATCAAGATGTCAGTACTGCAGCTTAAACAGAAGGTATGGGACAACAGAGAAGAAACATGTCTGATAAAAGTACTTATTTAAGTATATTATATATTTTCCACCATACACTAACATGTAAAACACTGGCTGCTATAGGACCCAGCAAAAAAATACCTGTTAAGGATTTGATTTAGCAGCATATGTAAAATTCTTCATTTTTTTCTATCACATCTCATTACTAAATCAGTTTGCCCAAAGAGCATACCCCCAAGAGTAGGATAAAAACTCCTCTGAGTCACATTAATGCATTTTATAGCCTAATAAAAAAAAAGCACTTAAAATAAAATTGGTGTATAGCAGGATGATTCTGCTGTTTTACTCATGAAATCAGGGAAAATTGATGTAAAAATCAGCTGTGCAGTTGCATGTTCATCTGTGTTACTGCAGACATCTAAACATTTCTGAACACGGGTCTGTCAGTAGCAGCACTCAACACTCTGAACTGTAACATATGATATATTGCTTCCAGCTGTGTGGTCTTTCCATGTGTTCCAGTGCGTATATAGTTAAACATATATTAAGAAAACATCATGATTAATGTTGTCTTTGCCAATTACAATGTAATTTTACACCATAAGTTGAAAGGGTTCCTTGTAAGGATTGCAATAAAGTTATAACATACTTTTTATAAAATCATCTTATTCACTTATGTCAAGGACTGCTGGTTTCTATAAGTAAACCGTAACTTTAGCCATTCTTTGTGCCTTTTATTTGTTTCCTGATTAGGATATTATCATGTGAAATTGCTGACTTTGCAGGGCCTGGCAAATACAGATATAGCTCAATCAATTAGACTACCATCCAAAATATTGTTCTATTTCATTAATTCAATCAAACAATAGAAAACATTCAACTTAAAATGAGTGATATCACTTAAGTACTTATTTATGTAAATGTTTATAATAGCTTGGAATTAAAAAGCTAAGCATTTGACCTAGTAAGAATGTGTGTACAATACACAAAAAGAAAGACTCAGTATGCATGGACTTTCTTTACATCAGTCATTCCATTAGAGTTTGGTACAACTTGTGAATCCTCTGAGGTGTTAAGCAAGCCAGATTGCTTGTAGATAGTTTTCAACTTGTTGACTCTGATTTCCTCTTGACAGTACTTCATAGATTCTCTGTAATGTTTAGGTATGTTGAGTTTTCTGGTCAATAAGGCACAGTGATGCTTTTATCGTAAAAACGTGTATTAACCGTTAACTGTTTGATTTAATTTCCTCTGAAAAACAAGGAATTTAGTCAGCATCCAAATACATGAAGGGCTCTAAATTTCCCCATAAAATGAACCAACAATAGTAGATTTAAGTGCTCCCTAAATGACTACTGTGGACCTCAAACAATGTGGAGTCTGCCTCTCTGGGACCTCGATTTCCAAATGAAATTCTAAATTTACTTTTGTCAAAAAGCCATGAAGCGAAAGTCCAGTTTATTTTCTCAATGGCCCAGATAAGAATGTTTTGACATTGTTACTGGTACAGAATTGGTTGAACAGAAGGATGTTGACAATTACAGCCCATGTCCTTAATATGCCTCCTTGTGTGTAATTGTAGTTGCAAAAGGCCCCACTCTCTAAATCTCTGTTCATCAGTGGCCTTTACTTCAAAATCCTCTCAAGTAGGCAACTCTTGCTCTGTGTACCTTTTTCTACCATGCTTTCCTTCAAATAAAGTTTCCATGTATATGCTTAGATAGAGCATTATATCCCCAGTGAGTTTCTTTTGGACTAACCTCTTGTTGCTCACCCTTTTTGTAGTGGGGGTTAGTGACAGTCTACTTGTGAACTATTAAATCAGAAGTCTGCATTTTTAATGTCTATAATAACAGGAATTTATTGATAATTTGTAACATTATTTAATTATGGGAAACTGAATATGCTTGTTTTTGTTAGCTGTAGACCCATAATAATCCAAAACAACAAACAAACAAACAATCTATTACATGGAGTATTCAGTAAACTGATGTTGAATTAAAAGTTTATTTTCATAAGTATATCATTAAATGTGTATACCAGAAAACACATAGTTCAAAATCCTGCAGGAACTCTTAGTCCTAGATTGAGCTCTTGCAAAATATGAAGATGTTTTACTTGTTCTCTAAGGGGGGTTGCCAAATCAACAAGATGTTATACAGATCAAGTATAACTTATTTTCCAAGGATGCCCCAAGGGTATTTTCCAGGGCCTGAAAACATTTAAGGCTGAGCCTACACCTGCATAGGGGAATGTGGGGTAATTTAACTCAGAAAAAGGCTTTAAATTTCAGCTTTCCTGAGTATTGTTTGAAGCCAAATACTGCCATAGGTACATCACAGTTCATTTATTTATCAAAATTATCCTGAAAGGCAAACAAGATCTCTACAAGTACTATTATTATGACGGCATGTATGATAGATTTTTCATGCTTTCTAAAAGACTAATGCTCTATTTCAGTAACTATGAACTGTAGTGATGAGCGAATCCTTTTGATCCTGTCATGTTTGGTTTGCCGTATAATCTGAAAACAAACCAGAATTCTAAAACGGCAGATAGAAAGTATTCCAGCCATTAAAATTTTGCAAATCAACTTGACTGCTTCTCAAACATGCTGTATAGAAGGCAGAAATGCTTTATTTGCCATGGCCCTGTGTTTGCCGTAGAGTTGTCACAACAAAAACATTTCAAACAGGATGTTGATAGCTGGGAAAACAGAATCACAGATGCTTGTTAAATAAGCGTGCAAATAAATGCAAAATAAAAAACTCAAATGCCACATATTTAGAAAATATTTCAAGGTTGTCTGAGGTATTGTTCATATTCTGAGGTATCATTATTTACAATAGTAAAAATACGCAAACAACTATTTTCCTTGTAATGGCTACCATGCCAAATTAGTATATTTTAGTGTTTAAGTATCAATGGTTTTCATATTTTGGCAGCCCTGGTCTGCAGTCCCCAGATCACTGACTTCAGTTGGGAAGCAGCTATCTGTTACCACGTCTGTGTTCTGGTCTTCCTCAATGTAGTCATTACCATCTCATCCATCTATCTCCTTTTTCTTAATGTCCACCTTTGTCCTTTCCACATTTCTCTGTTGTGATTTGGTCAACCGTGAAGTAAAGCATTAGATTTCTTATCATAAATACATGTTATTATAGGCTAGTCATAAAAGAAAACTGACCTTTGCAACATGATTAGTGTTCTATAGTCATTTACGTGAGTAAATGAGCTCAATTTCTTAGTTTTAATTATGAAATCCCAAAGATGCTACCCAGGTTAAACTTATGGTTCTGCTACATTTCTGTTCTCTGGGTATTTGAATCTTATGCCTGCATGCATATATGTGTGAATGTGAAATATATACACACATAAATGTGATAGTAATGTCACAAGCCGATATTGATATCCTATATCGGTCCAATAACATGAAAAAAAATAATATTATATTGGCCTGCACCCAACACAGAAAAAAATAATGCAACCACTTTTGGCATTTACTTAATCATATTTAGTTACCTTAACACAATTGTTGTATGCCCTACCCTGAAACAATTGTGTTAAAGTAACTAAATATGATTAGGTAAAAGCCAAAAACGGATGCACTATTTTTTTCAGTGAATATCTCTGATACTGGCATGATGGTAAAAATGCTGCATCTGTATAAAGTTTTATCCCATTAATTAAAATTACATGGGTCAGTTGTTCTTTTCTAATATTCCAAGCTACAAAATGTAAAAGAAAAAAAGTATGTTAGAAGGGGGATGCTGGAATTTTTAATAAAAAAGATTTAATTAAAATTAATTAGAAAAAAATAAAACACTCCATTCAGTTATTTCATATTCATGCATCATTCAGTCATTCATATATTGCCTAAGTAATTCTTACAGCCATGTTTTGTTTTTGTTCAACAATATATCATATATATATATATATATATATATATATATATATATATATATATATATATATATATATATATATATATATATATATATATATATATATATATATTCTTTTCTAAGATGGCCTTGCTGTCAAATAGTGCTGATGTCCCTGTGCAGATGAGCAGTGAGAAAATCCTTACATCCTCTGTATTTATACCAGGACCTCCAGGCTCCCCTGGGCCACAAGGTAAGAATGAATTTAAATCTAAATATTAAAAGTACTTCATTTGAAAATTACTCCTTATGTAGAAAAATCAAACATCAGTTAATATAGGTCATGCAGGGATGTCAGACTCTTAACAAGTTATGTTAAACAGACCATTTGTTAACCTGTTTAATTTACAGTAGCCAATAATACTAAGGATATCTAAGATCTGTCACCCCCTGTCAAATAGATTAGAGATCAAATAGACCTCTGATAAGAGCATGCGTTTAACGATTCATCAGTTCATTCAGCAGTGCTGAGAGGCCTCCAGATCATGTGTAGTACATGTATTGCTGTTTCTTCCATGTGCTATCCAGTGTTTTGTTCGATTTGTTGATAAAGGTATTTGTTGATTGATCTGTAATTGTTATAACTGTTAGCTGTAGCAAAAATCAGTTGACAAAATCTTGGAGAGGTTTCAGTCATTTCTAGAAAAGATAAGCAAAGGTCCATTTGCCTCCAATTAACATCTGTTTGTGGATCCTACACAGTAAAACATGATGGAGACATCCTTATCTGGTGTCTACACATTCTCACTTCCAACCTATCAAATATTGACAGCCTCTGACACAAGCTGTATGACAGGTTGTGGACATTTTGTCATGCAAGTGTGGCAGCTATTCTTGTGCCTCTCAGAAAAATGATCCAATCAAGTCTGGTCTTTATTTCTGTCCTTATTCTAGGAGATACAGGACCAGTTGGTCCTCCAGGATTGGTCGGGCTTCCTGGTCCACCTGGTCCCAGAGGCCTGATGGGACCCATTGGACCAACACCAGACCTGTTCCACATCAAACGTGGACCTCGAGGACCTGTGGTCAGTTTATATATATATACAATTTTTTTATCTATAGTAAAGCGGCACTGCCTGTTTCTGTCGATACAGCGTTCACACATTTTAATTTCATTAATTTAATTTAGTATGCATCAACAAAAGTCAGAAGCACAAAGTCATAATTATACATTATACAGCAGGAGAATAGAACTAGCATTGAGATTATAATGCACTGCTTCACCATGTTGGGATTAAAAGTTAAGCCCCTGTCACACTTTACAATTTAACCAGCGTATGCCTGATGTCCCAGAATCTTATAAAACGCTGGCATACGCTTAACTTTCTATGTATTTGTTCAATTTTGGGCATATACATAGAGTATTTATAACGAGTCCAGAGCGTATGTCCAATAACAGCCTAAATTATGCTTGACGCACAGCAGCACAATGCCCATGAGATGTCACAAGCCAGTGTCCTGAGAGGGGCAGCAATGTACCTGGAGTAGCCCAGCCTGCCTAAAAAGATTTTTATGATCGTTATTAACCTAGCTGCTGTTTACCGCCCGCCCAAAAAAGAAAAAGAGGGAAAGAAGGCATGTAGTCGAAGCAGATTCAGCGTCATGTCTGCTAGGAAGTTTGTTGGTGCTGGCCGTTGCATATGAGCATATGCTGGCATATGCTTATACGTAGGGCATAAATTACTGTGTTCTGGTGCTCAAAATTTCTCAAGGTACTTGCCCTATGTCAACGTGAGCCAGCGTGCTTCAGCGTGCTCATGACTTATACAAACCTAATCCATGACTGTTCAAATGTATGTCCGCGTTTTTGCCAGATTTTTCTTATTTCAGGCATACGCTGGCTAAATTGTCAATGTGTGACTGGGGCTTTAGATTGAAATATACAATTGCTTGTTGTAAAGAAAAATATACTATTGTTTTTTTTTTATTTCTGAATATTTTGATTAGTGATTAGTGCAATTAGCAGGCAATTACCTTACTCTTTATATCTATCGTCATGGTGTCTCTACTTTTTTTAATCCTATCTTATAAACACATATATGACTTTAAATGTCTCTACAGTTTACTCTTTAAAGGTAATGAAAAGCCAGCCATCCAGTCAAACGTATTATTTGTAGTGATAACGTTGTTGCATGGTATTTGAAATGAATTAATAACATTGTAATACTTTGCAATTAAGATATTGCACAGCTGGTATTCTAATCATGATTTCCTTTGACATTGTGCACAGCTTTGATCCAGTTTGTCTTCATAACGTTACCTCCACTTACAACCATTTTCTTGCTTTTGAGAAACAAAGAAATGGAGCTTCAGCAGCAACATTTCTCTAACATGGATATCTTCATGGCTGCATTAATGTGTGCAATATCCCAATTAGAACAGATGCCTTGGATGCAATATAGGTTAGAACCTGGAGATATATAGATACTTTTATTACAAAGTGAATGCTTTCTATTTTAACCTACAGGCTCAAATCACTACAGGAAGGTCTTTGGAGCTTTTTAATTAATTATCAGTTGTACCATTGAGGATATTATGGCAGTAACTCACAAGTTTACATACCTACAAAATATTTGGGTAAATTATAGGTTTTTTTTATGAGCTTTTTTGGAGCTAGCTCTGATTTCTGACCTTTCATTTTGGTTTCTTTTCAGCTGTTTGCAACAGTTAGTTTTCCTCCATAGTGTCACCAAATACATAATAATCCAAGCTCACTTATACAGATGGAGAACCCCTTTGCTGCTGTAAAAGAGCAGTCAGAGGTTTTTGTTAGCTGGCCTGCAAAGCTCTGCAGTGAGTCATAAGGCAAAATTTACAGTTGTCTTAAAATAGTAAGATAATGACGTTGATTTCTACTTTTGTCTGTAAAACAGATTTAACTGGCATGTCTTTTGCTAACCAAACAAATCCGAATAATTTAGTAATCCTGAATTGTGAAACAAGCACAGGGAGAGAAAGAAAATACCCCCACTTTCTGACCCCCAGGTCAGTGAGGATTACACGCGGTGATGGTAATAACAACAGAGCGGACCGAATCCGTTTACAGCTTCAGATGTTTTCTTTGGTTTGCACTATTTGCAGTACTCACTCTTGCCGTCTAGTGCGAACCAGTGGTGTTGAGGTGGATATCAATCAGTAATGTGGAGGATACTGCCACCCAGACACGTGTCTCCTTATTTAAAGCCTCTGTGGGGTTTTTTCTTCTCTTTTGGGGTTTGGGGGGGGTACCACAGAACATCAACACCTGCAATCAGTCATATAACAAGCTACATAGAGCTACATCTTGAAGTCAGGACCTGTGTTTTCACAGTAGAAAGTAATCTATTGCTTTGCCAGTATGAGTATGTGTTTGTGTAACAGTTAGATTTAAGTTTCCATCACAGCTCTTTATATTTCCAGCCTGTTTGTGCTGTTAATCAGTCCACATGTTGGTGGGAAGAGACTCAAAAGGCGTTGTACTCCTATGAGGTTTTCTGCTGTCAGGGCACATGTGTTTGACTGCATGCAAGGGTTTTAGGCATGATTAATGTATGACTCTATGGCTATGTAATTGACTGAAGATTGACGTTTCTCCCTGTGCAACATGTTCATAAGTCATTGAAGATAATTGTTTCAGGAAAGACATCAAAGCGGCCTCCGCCATTGATCTGAAATCCCTCAGGGAAGTCCCGAAGCCCTTATTTAATTTCTCTTTGTGGGTCATAATGGCGCTTACAGTTTTTGTGGTCAGCATGGGTGGGTATATTTCTTTAATGTTTAGGTAGGGAGGTATTACAATTACATTAGTAAGACTTTTAGAAATCATGAATATGGGGCACATACACTTAAAAGCATATTAATATATTTTGTTTCTGTTTTTTCTCTTAAAAGGGTGCCCCAGGAGCACCAGGGAGGGATGGTCTCAAGGTAAGATCATACAGTATATAGTTTTCTGATATTAAGCTATTCTAAATAAATGCAATGCCATTGAGTACATAAACCTCTAAACAGCACAGTGTGTTTTAGTAACAGGTTTGTTGCCTTAGACTTAAAGAAAAGAGAAACCAATCCCACATCCATGCTTGGCAAAACTCTATTATTCAACAAGCCCAATTATCCATAAATGTTTATCTAATCATCAGATATGTACAGTTGAGAAGCACAAGTTAGTGCCAGTTTAGTGCAAAATCTGAACTTAATGTTACCCAGGCAAGATGTTGGTCTACAAGTTGGTGCATGTTGATAGAGCAATGTACCTGATCTGAACAGTGGCTTGCTTTATTCAGTGAAATTTTTGCTATCAACACATTTCTAGGTTGTTGTTTTTTTTAATGCAGGTAGCATCTTATTCTGTGCCCTGAGTAAGCTCTGTGTTGATCATGAAACTGTCAGTCAATTTTTTTTCTAAGAGAAAATCAGAGACAACACTTTGCAGCTGATTCAGCTGGATAAGTTGTGTCAAATTTGACAGGATTTCAGATATGAGCGTTATAACCGTCTTCTTAATTTTACATACATTTTATGAAATATTAATCAGATAGACTAAAGGGGATATATCCACAATGTTTATAATTATAAAGCAAAATGCAGATTTTATCTTTGTCACACTCTGTGTTTAGTATTAAAGCACATTTGTCCATGCATCGTGCTTTATATTTTTGAAAATACTTGCAGCCCAGCTCATGAAAATAGGTTTTTGTATCATTCCAATTTTCAAAAAGACTTAATCCATTACGTCTTCCTGTGTCACAAAGATTTTTTATTTTTATTTTGTCAGGGTGTGTTAAATTGCAGTATGTTTGGTAAGGTTCAGATTTTCCGGAAGCTGAAAGGCCCTGATTCTGCGTGGTGTCAGATTCAATTTAAACTGAGAAGAACCAGGTGTGGTAGCACGACAGCCAACTCTTGAATGAAATCTGACCTAAAATGGCCTCAAAAAGACAAAAATATGATTTTGATGTTTTAAGAAGTATAATGTCAACCCTTGATATCACTTTCTATTAGGGTCTGTAATGCACAAGCTTTAGAAATTCACATCTTGACAAGGATTTTTCTTTAATCCTTCTATTAGCTGCTTTTCTATAAATGATTGCAATGGAATGCTTATGTGCATCTTTTTGTTATTGATATTTTACCTTGGCATACTCTCAGTAAACATGGGATGTTTGTCTGGAGAATAATGATAATCTGCCTCAGTGAGTTACAAATTCAACCCATCTGACAAAACACTGGCAGCCTCAGCATGACCCTGAGCTACCAACACCGTGTGAAAGAATTTGCTAATTTATTTCCTAGGTCTGGATAAGTATGGAAAAAATTAAAACTAAGATTAGAAAAGGTTAACCATACCAGACCCTCTACCCTCTTATCATTTAATTTCTGCTATTATCTAAAGGACAAAAAAAATTATAAAGCTTAACAAGGTATATTGTTGATTATATGAATCGGTTAAAATTTAGTTATTTCTCTTTCATTTGCCATATAGGCACATTTCTGTTGAAACACAATATTTGGCAGGATTTTGTTTCAAGTTCTCATGCAAAATGTCAAGCAAAAGTATCCTAATTGCATGAAAGTAAGGAATAAGCCTTTAGGTTGAATGCAAAGTTAGGCTGGCTTATTATTAGTTATTTTTGTGTTTTATCCTTGTAAGGGTTAGGGTACAATGCTGCTGCAATCCAGCAGACCACCCAGGATCCAAATAAATTCATATTCAATCAACAATGAACCAGGAACTAGGAAAAAGCATTTTAATACTTTTAATTTGGTTTCATTTAACTGACAAGCCTATGACTTTTTCAATGTTGCTTTTTCCTTCTGATAGGATGCTCTCGGGAGGATTCACTAAAACTTAGATTTTTTATTTTTTTTCTTTGTACTCTTATTTGTTGGTATTTGACCACATCAAGTATTAATTTTCCCTTCAGACGTAGCAGGATAGTTTATTCCTATTAAGTAGCTGTGTCGATTGCTGCCATTTAGCTTTCTGATACTTAATCAGTACAACCAGTCAATGGCACACACGTCTTTTTGTGTACGCTCAAGTGCTGGAATTCTGTTGAGGTTACAGAGGTAGCATTAACACCCTATCAGGAGGGTGCTTTGTTTATAAAAAATCTTATTTTACAGTGAACAAATGTTTTTTGGTATTTTTTGTTTGTAAAGTGACTATGCACCTTTTAGACAAGATCCTAATGTTTTTCAGTTTTGTGGTTAACATTTTTTTTACTTTTTAGATATTTTAAATGTGATAAGCAACGCCAACCAAACGGTAGACACTGAAATTAAGAATTTTAACCCCTTAAAGGAATAGTACACCCAAAACATGATTAGCCTTCATTTTCTACTCACCCCCATGCTGAACAAAACTCTGGAGTACTTTTTTGATATCTCAAATGCATCTGGAGATCTGGGAGGCTTCTTGCTGTCTGCTGACATTCAAATAATGGAGGTCTATGGCGCCCGAGGCAGAAAGGTCCATAAAAGTCCACAAAAACGTGTCAATATTCCTCCATACTGCTCGTCCAATGTAATCCAAGTGTCCTGAGTGGGTAGCGTCCATAATTTACTCGAAACGAAGTCATTTAGAACGTTTTAGAGCCTAAACAGTAGTGTATAGGATTTCCTAATAGCGCCCCCATGCGTGCTCACGATTCTACGGAAGCCGGCAGACCAAACCAGCGCATTCAGCTCGGCAAAGAACTCATGCTCTTCCTCAACACTGAAGTCCTCAGACATTTTTCTTTCGTTGTTTCTTTCTTTGCACAGGTAAACAGCACATTTCTTCTTCTACGCTTGCATTATCGGCAGAGCAGACGCTGAATGCGCACTTTCTTCCGGTTTGGTCTGCCGGCTTCCGTAGAATCGTGAGCGCGCATGGGGGCGCTATTAGGAAATCCTATACACTACTGTTTAGGCTCTAAAACGTTCTAAATGACTTCGTTTCGAGTAAATTCTGGATGCTACCCACTCAGGACACTTGGATTACATTGGACGAGCAGTATGGAGGAATATTGACACGTTTTTGTGGACTTTTATGGACCTTTCTGTCTCGGTCACCATAGACCTCCATTATTTGAATGTCAGCAGACAGCAAGAAGCCTCCCAGATCTCCAGATGCATTTGAGATATCAAAAAAGTACTCCAGAGTTTTGTTCAGCATGGGGGTGAGTAGAAAATGAAGGCTAATCATGTTTTGGGTGTACTATTCCTTTAAGTCCAAGTGCCCCCTTTCAAAGAGACTAGAGCTATATTGCACCAATAATAAGCTTGTTGCTCACTAACTCTCAGACTAGCAAACGCTTGATCTGAGACACCTCTATAAGTCTGTCAACTTCATTATAATATCCACTGACCACAGCTCAAACACCATGCCAAAAAACCCTCAGATAGCCAAAATGCAACTAATGACCAAGTCTGTTTTGGTGGGACTCATTTCAACAACACACTTAGCAATGCTGAATTATGCATTTCTAATTTTGCAAGATGAGATCAGATGTCAAGCTAAGAAAGGAGTCCTATCAAACCTGGTTGGCTTGTGGGACTCAGCTGGCACCTGTAGGCTGGGTTCCCTGAGGTGCCTTGTGGGGACAGATTCAGGAGTACAGAGTCAGGGGCCATACTTTCTCTGTACAACAAGAACAGGAGCCTGGTCTGCATTGCTGGCATTAAATTGGACCTGTTCCCGGTGCATTTTGGACTCCGCCAGGACTGCCCTCTCTCACTGGTCCTGTTCATAACCTTTATGTACAGGATTTCTATGTGCAGCAAAGGACTGGAGAGGTCTGGTTCTGGGCCCAGCGGATCTCGTCCCTGCTTTTTGCGGATGATGTGGTTCTGCTGGCTCCCTCCTACCAAGCCCTACAGCTGGCTCCTAAAGCCAAGTCATAACTGAAAGAAAGAGATCCTGGATGCAAAATAAATAAACTTTATCCAGAGGGTGGCTGGGCTCTCCCTTAGAGAGAGCTTTGTCATTCGGGAGTGGCTCAGAGCAGAGCCACTTCTCCTCCACATCAAAAGGAATCAGCTGAGGTGGCTCAGACATATTTTTGGAGGCCCCCTGGACGCCTCCCTTGGGAGGTGTTCCAGACACTTCCCACCAGGAGGAGGCCCAGGAGACGCTAAAGGGACTATGTCTCTTGACTGGCCTGGGAGTGCCCCAGGCTTCCCCCAGCAGGGCTGGAGGAGGTGTCTGCAGAAAGGATGGGATTACGCATGGATGTAAAAATTGGCATTAAAACACTGATTTGAAACAAGGCTATACACACAGTGGCAGATGTTGAAGAGAGTCTCTTTGCATGTGAACATTTTCAGACAATAGTAGACATATCTATTAAAATGATCTATTTAAATTATTTTATTTGAAAACATTTTAGTGCTCCTTATTTAAGATCTTAGTAGATATCTTAGTAGATAATGCAATAGATCCTAAAGACATTAAAACACTAAATCACAGATCTTCTGTTAGCTATCCTTAGTCAACTATTTAATATTTGCTGTCAGAACTGGAAAGGTTCAATTACATTTTTGTTCTGATCATGAGTTATCTTTGCAAAAAGAGGTGTTAAAGTACCTCATGAAAGTCAAAGGAAACCTTCTTTTAGTTTAAGGGGTCAGAAATTGCGTTAAAGGATGTTATTTTTTCTACGTTTTTGCTGAATAACCGTTAACAACACTAAGAAGTAACAATTTATCTTTCAACATCAATGATATTCACATTAAACTGGTAAATATTTTACTATCTTCCTCTGGGTATGTTTTCTTGAGAGTGGAATTGGTAGATTGCCCAGAGTTGATGGAATATTTAAAGAAAGGGGACTGGCTCATAACTTCAAACACTTGGCATAACTTCAGACCATCATGATTGAAACTTGTACAAAACTCTAACTCCAGTAGAGCCATAATCCCAACCAGACATCAGAACAGATTTAGTAATGCATAAAGCAACCAAAGTTAAAGTTTAAAAACAATAAACAATACCTCTCCCTTTCAGCCTCTGCTATGTCAACAATCTGTAAACTATGGCTGAAAAAGGTGTGACTGGCATAGAAGCTGCACCAAAATAACTGTAGGTGTAGTTATATATTATGTTTAATCACAGTTTATTGGTGACTTGGATATATGTTATAATGATAAAGTGTGCTGAGAGAGTAGATATTTATGCTTTAGGGTTATTTCTATGTTTTTTTTCTAATCAAGTCCAAGGTCAGTATCTGTACTTGCACACACAACACATTTCATTGCTTTCACATGGTCTAGATTAGTTATTATGATAATCCAGGAATTAAATACTCATTGAACGAGAATTTATGATTTCTCTCTTATGTTTTTCCCCATAGAGGTTTTGTCCAAACTAAAGTTAGTTTAATGCTATAATGAATTTTACTCTGAAATAGTTAAACCTTTATTTTTTTAATAAAGTTAAAATGTATTTGTCTAAACAGTCTTCTATAAATGCACATCTAACTCCTGCTGATGATTTAATCTGGAATTATTATTATGAGTATAATATGAGCATATACTATCTTGAGTTACTAATATTTTGATTTGCTACATTTTTCAGTGTAGATCAAGCTTATCAAGAAAACCAATGGAAATCATTATTTTGCTTCATAAACTTGCTTTAACATTGTAAAATGTGTTTAGGAGTGTTTGCTCTCTGTGCAGGTGTCCCTTGAGGACTAGGTTATCTGAATCAAAACAAAATATGCAGAACAGGTCACACGATACAGACAGACAAGAATCTGAAGCAGGCACTGTTTCGCCATCAAAATCCTTTCTAAAGGTTGAAAAACGTTTTGATTTCAGGCAAAATTTATTTTTTAAACGACAAAAGCAAACTTAAAAATGAGTTTATCAAATAGTTGTACAAAATTCAAAAACACAGCTTACTGTGGTCTCAAAAAAAAAGAAAATGGAACAGTCCATTACAACGTTTTTCTTTTATTCTTAATATTCTCTGAATTTTTTGATATTTTTTCTATCCAGGAATTTTTTTATCTTCCATTTTCTGGCTCTTCTGTTTCATGAACATGATATTATGACATCCCCTCATGCATCCCCACCCCATCTTTTCTCCACTGTAATTTGACTAAACTAAATATTTGTTTTGTTTCCTCAGGGGCAGAGAGGAGCTCCCGGTCCTGCTGGACCACCAGTAAGAAAAACACTTTTCATTCTAATGATACACTATTGTAACATACAGCTTTAATCTAAATGACAAATTTGGGCTAAGACAGTCATCACATAAAGTTAACCGACACCGAGCAATACAAAGACAACTTTAATATACCGTGCAATTTATGGTGTAGGGTGTAATAACATCAGGCATGAGCATGGGAAAAAAAGGGGGAAGTTGCATCAATTTGCACTGAATGTTTTTTTTTTTTTTCTGTTACCTACTTGGGTGTCTGATCACTTGGGATTAGGTGCCTCTATAGTTTTTGCAGTTACCAAATTAAAGCGCCATTTTAATCGTTAAAGGAATGTGGACTATATTAGATAACGTTTGTTGAAATTCTTAAGTACTCAGTCTTGATAGACACGATGACTTACATCAGTCTGCACTGAAAATAGATTGTTTATAATACAGTGTGAGATCTACGAAATCTTAATTCTATCAAAAAGATCATGTTCATCTTTTTTTAAAGCAGTATCTGTTTAAATAGAGCATACTGAATTATCCTGCACTTGCAAATTTGTGAAAACAAAATAAGTAGGTTTTCGATTGCAAAAGGAGAGACTTGTCTAGCATTCTAATCTTGCTGAAATTTCCGGTGTTAATTAAACTAACAAATATCTCTTTAAGAATAACCGACGTTGAATCAAATTGGTTGCATGAAATTATCATGAGAAATCTCTCTAACAAAGAGTAGACAGAAAGACAGACAGACAGACAGACAGACAGACAGACAGACAGACAGACAGACAGACAGACAGACAGACAGACAGACAGACAGACAGACAGACAGACAGACAGACAGACAGACAGACAGACAGACAGACAGATAGATAGATAGATAGATAGATAGATAGATAGATAGATAGATAGATAGATAGATAGATAGATAGATAGATAGATAGATAGATAGATAGATATACAGTGTATAGATCCAAAATACAAGAACGTAAATGCAGCGATTTCTTTCCTACTGAAAAGGGATCATTTAAAAGCAACCTTTGATTTATTCTAATATTCATCAATACCACATAGGATTCTTATTTTCCATTTGTTTTCTTTACATCCCAGGGCCCTCCAGGATCCTTTGATTTCCTGCTTCTGCTGATGGCAGATATCCGTAATGACATTGCGGACTTGCAGAGCAAGGTGTACGGTCAGCCAACGCACTCTCCGGATGACCACATTCCTTTAGCCCCAGACAGTTGGAGAAGCACAGCAGACAGTGCGGATGCAGGATCAGGGGAGGACTATAAGGAACCTCTGTCTCAAACAGACCGGTGGTCCAAAAAGAACAAGAAGAGGAAACAAGGACGAGAAAGAACAAACTGATTGGACTAATAACGAATCGTGGCTTTGAATACTGCCAGGTGTAAATACTGAAGGGGTTTGTTTTTATATTTAATGGATTTTTATGACATATTTTATATTGTTTTACAACAGATGTTTATTTTTTTATAACATAAAAGATTGTCTGTTTTTAAACAAATGTGCATAGACTTAGATTTTTTTTATATTTTCAACTGTTCATTATAAAAAGATGAGCAATACAATATCCAAGCATGCATAACTTCACAAGATGCATTAAGTATTATAGCTGCTGCACTGGAACTTCATAAAGCTAATGAGAATAGAGTTGTAGGACCAGAAAAATTCATAATATCATGAGAATAAAGTCATGACAGAATAGACATCCGATTATTCAAACAATACTGACCAGCACAGCCAAACTACCAAACGGCAATCTGAGCTCTGTTTGTAAACATAATAATAATTTGATGCTGATGGGCTAAAAGGTTTATTTCCTTATTTATAAAATAGATAATAAAGTAGAAGTTCACAAGATTTTCAACAGTCTTCATTTCGATGCAGCTGATAATCATGCAAGAGTTCTCTTTCTAAATATTGACTTTATTTTCATAGCATTACAACTTTAATTCAGCAATATTATTACAATAATCTGGTAATATCACTTAATTCTTCCAATACGACTATTTTTATAACATTATGACTTAATACTCATGTCTTTATTCTGAATATATAATGATTTTTTTCTCATAATTCTACTAATTTATTGTTATAATATTACAACCGGTCAAAAACAAACTTTTCTATAGTCTGGCCCTAATACTCTGTTGTGGATAAACAGTTTTTATCCCCGCAAAAACTCGATTTTTACAGTTTCAAGGATTTTCTTAAAACATTAAATATTTTTTGATGTCCTGTATGGATTATGTCCAAATATTAAAAAAAAAAAAACTGTCCCTGTTAAAAACATGCTCTGTTTACAAAGGTGGTTTACAGCTTGTTTAGCTGAATTAGGAAATATGCCACCTTTTTTTTTTACTATAAAAACATCATTACATTTACTATCAATAGTGTGAAGCTTTTCCTGTAGGCCACTTAAAAAACTGTAAGATTTGGGGACTTTAATGCTTTGATAATACTGTTCTAAAAATAAAAGCATTCAACTTCATAAGGGTTATTGTCTAATAGGGTTTTATGGAGTTTACTCATTGAAGGTTGACTAAATGGGAACACAGGTTTTCTCCACTAGAGGGAGGCATCATGCAACGGTTTGAATGCATGTTTTAAAGGTCCAAACTAAAGTAAGTTTAAAAATCTGCAAGAACAAATTTTAACATCACTTTTAATTAAACATGGATCTACCTTTGGACCTGTAGAGACCAAAAATGTCAACTTAAGTATTAAATTTTTGATTGTTTAAGAACCTATTATCTATGCAAAAGCAATTAAGATGTTTTAAATACAAATAAATACTGTCTTTGCCATCCTGTTATGTTCTCTTCTACAGCTTTTTTTAAAGTATGATTCTAGAATGTTTGGGTAATTGTTAAGTAAAGTCATTTCAGAATTAGAATTAAAGATGGATTTAAAAAAACCATGGTAGTATTTTTATATAACTGTGTCTATGCCTATGTTGCATTATTAGCTGAGTCTGCTTTTAAACAGTTTTATCACTGAAAGCTTTACTTGCAGCTTCACAAATAGAACATAACTTGCATTCTGTGAATTATTTTAGAAATTCAATGGAGGCTCATTCAAATTAGCACCAGTGTGGAGCTTCAACAAGATCACTCAGAAGACTTTTTTCCAATCTTCTCAGGATGGAATAACTTTTTATAGATGCCAGGCATTTGTTAGCACATATTTTAATCACTAATTCAAAGAGGGTAAATCTTCAGCCTATTTAAGATTTTATAGTTTGTTGAGCATGAACTGAAAGATACAAGCACTCAGATTTTTTTCAACAGCCTTTTATCAGTTTCTTTTACTGTCAAATTAGAAAAATGTTCTTCTTTTTCCAAATTCCACAAAAGAGTTGGTCATTTCCAGTGTGTTGCCACTAGATGGCAGCCTTCTCCAGCTCTGCCCATCAGACTTTCAGCCCTATACCTTAAGACATGGAGCTCAATTATTTTGTAATACCTTGCAGTTTTTATGACAAAAACACGCTGTGTCATAATCAAAACCCAACTGTGACTTAAGACTTTGGGGAAATTAATATTAGTGACTGTTTTAAGTTTGTATTTTTATAATTTTAACTACAATGTGCATCTAAACTAAATTTGTTCGCAGAATAAATGAATGATGTTATAATAAAGATGGATGTAAAATTGTAGCTAAAGTTTAGAACTCCTGCAGTGATGCTGTTTGGACCAACCCACCCTTTTATTATCCTATATTCTAAAAATAAAACAAAATGAAAACTGAAGAACTTCAAAGTTTTTAGTTGCACTGCAGAGCTTCTGAAATACATAAACAGATAAAGTCATGGCATTTTTTAAGGCAACTTGTAATAGCCTCTGCTATATTATGTTTATTTCAGCCAGTTCTGTCTGTTAGATAACAAAACAACACAGTATATATCTATAAAATCCCTTCTGGAAATAATTAATCACCATCAAACAAAGAGGAGCCCTAAATGAATTCAACTATTTACTGAAGTGGCCCCTTGTCTCTAATTATATCTCCCTGCTCGTCCTCTTCATTATTTAGAACTACCCACAAAAAGATGCAGCACTGAATGGGTACACACACTCACACACACACTTCAATTGAAAATGTTTCATAGCAAATAAATGAGGAAGTTACTGTGCTGTCATAGAGGCCCTAATGAGGTAATTTTATTAGTGGAGGCTGCCAAGTTGAAAATAGATGGGGAAAGCAAACAGGGTAGAGAAAATTAGTGTTACCCAATTCATTAATTAATGTGTTAGTGTAGGCAGCAAATTAACTGCCCCAAAAAATCTTTTATTCAACAAAGATTTTGATGGAAAAAAAATACATTGTTGTGCTTCAACGTAATTACAAAACAGTGCAAATTCAATTCTAATGAGGTGAAAGGCACCCCCTTAACATACATCCCCTATTCCCCTTCACTGAAAAGGCCCGCTCTTGTTGAGGCCTAAGTTTAAGGAAGTATTGAGAGCGAAGGAAACAATGCTGAGAGATTGGCCCGGGCCTGAGTGCTTTACATGCTGCAAACAGGTAGAGGGAACTGAATAGCTCTCTTTCTGGGACTCCTGGGGGGCCTGTCTTCCCAGCATAACAACACTTGGCCTCGAGAAAAGGGTCCGCTGAGGAGCCCTGGAGAGTGAATGGACCTGCGCCGCAATGGGTCACCCTGAATGGCCACAAGTTCTTCACTGATTAAAAACTATGTTGTGCCGGCCTCTGGGCCACGCACATGTGTGCAGACACACACACAGAAGCACACACTCTGCCTCTCATTGAGTTATCTTTACTCAAGCTTTGTCTCCTCTAATTGGAGCTGATGAGTGACTAATTGGTAGCTTTTTTACAACACCAACCACTTAAGCGATGGCAAGCCGAGGGAGGCAGCATGAGCAGAGTTAATGAGAGGCTTTGCACAAATAAGAGCTTTAAAATGGGCCCGTCTCTCAGAATGGACGTAAAGGAAAGTTGAGGATAGCTTTTGTGTCCCCCACATCTTTCACTTATGTGCAGGTATCTAAAAAGAAGAGGGAGCGGTGGAGGGCACCCAGTGGTTGCAGAAATGCTGAGCACTTGTGTGCATAAAGGGATCTGTTCTGTATTGTTTGGAGCCCATCGTTTAGTGTGTCTGCTAATAATGAGTAAGGGCCGCTCCTCAAATGAATGTGGCAAAGTCCTCAGGGTACAATAAGTGCCCTCTCTTGCTTGGACCACACTGCACCGTGTTGAAGCAATCTGAAATAAAGGTTTCATCCTCCAACATTGTTCGGGGTGAGCTTGTGGGCTAGGTGCATAGAACTGAGCCAACAAATGTTACAGCAATAAACTTCCATATAGCAATGCAATAAAGTCCTTCTTGTAGATTTCTAAATGTAATTAAATGAATATCAGTTATTAAATCAGGTTTTACCATTCCTTGCAAAAGTTTTCACTTTTGTGACGATACAGCCACATAACACTTTGTTTTTGTATTTCACATGATAAGGCAAAGTAGTGCTTAATTGTGAAGGAGGAATTAAAAATAATAACCCTAAATGTTCAGTTATTCTAACAATATAATCTGAAAAGTGTGGTGCACATTTATTTTCTGCCAACCTTTAATCTGATACTCAACAAGTTTAGTAGTCACTGCATTAGCAAAATCTTGTTGTGTATATTTTTATCTCAGTATAAATACAGCTGATTAGTGAATAAATATCAGTGGTTAATTAGAGAAAAATAAATAAATCAACAAAAATACTAAGAAAGGATAAAACAGTAGAAGGTTGTGAGGAAGTTAAAACAAGCGTGTAGATTATAAATCAGTAATTCATGTTTTAAACTTCATTTACCAATCTTTAATCCAGTGGTTTCTAATATGTTTGCCATGGGAGCCAAAAAAAAAACAAGTTGAAGGTGCTTGGCCTTTTTTTTTTTTTTTTTTTTTGAATTAAATTTGAGTTGAAAAACTTTTTCTCACACATATTTATCTGCTTAACTGTTAACTAAACACACAATATTTAAATTATTTCTGTAGAGAAAGGATCTGAAAAGCGTTAATTTGAATGGCTTGTGGGTTTTCACAATAGAAAACATCATCCTACATTTTGAATATATTACTTTTATAGATTTCTTATGTTTACCTTCTAGCTAAAGTCATTGGGTTTTCTCTGGGGTTTTCTCTGGTACGATAAAATATAAATTTTTAATCAAATGCACTATCACATGGATAAAAACTGAATATGTCCCGTTTCACTTTACATTTTCACTTTAAGGAAGACTTTTATCCTTCTGGACCTTTTTTTCAAGGTGCTTGTGAAAGTGAAAAAAATTAAATTTTTCTTAATGTATATTTGCAACAACCACCAGAACTGGCAAAATATATTAGGAGCAATTTCTGAAAAATCATTCTGAGGGTTTCAGTTTGGAGATGCCTGCTAATCCATCATCTTAAAATTAAAAGAGAGGTGACTTTGAAGAGCTGCAGAAATCCACACTTTGGGAGATGTGAGCCATCCATTAGACCCATCTGGCTTT